CTCAGTGGTAGAGTGCTTGCCTTGCATGCATGAGGCCCTGGGTTCGATTCCTCAGCACCACATAAGCAGAAAAAGCCAGAAGTGGCCCTGTGGCTCAAGTGGTAGAGCTCTAGCCTTGAGCTGAAGAGCTCAGGGACAGCACCCAGGCCCAGAGTTCCTGCCCTATGACTGGGAAAAAAAAAAAAAAAACCTGATTGCTAGGAAGCATGGCCCCAAGTGGTAGCTGCCTAGAAAGCACAAAATCCTGAGTTCAAACTCCAGTTCCACAAAAATTAAAAAGAGGAGAGAGAGAAAGAGGAAAAAAAAAAGAATTGGCAGAGTCTGGTGGCTCATGCCTGTAATCCCTCCAGAGGCTAAGGTCTGAGAATTGCAGTTCTACACCAGCCTGAGTAAGAAAGTTCATAAGACTTTTCTCTCCAATTAACCACCAAAAAATTGGAAGTGGCACTGTGGCTCAAAGTGGTAGAGTGTTAGCCTTGAACTAAAAGAGCTCAGGGACAGCTCTGAGTTCAAGCTCCATGCCAACAACAACAACAACAAAAGAATTGATCATAGGGATGGGAAGGTGGTTCAGTAGAGTGCTTGCCTCACATGCATGAAATCCTGGGTTCGATTCCTCAGCACCACATAAGCAGAAAGGCCGGAAGCGGTGGTATGGCTCAAGTGGCAGAGCGCTCACCTTGAGCTGAAGAGCTGAGGGACAGCACCCAGGCCCAGAGTTCAGGCCCCATGACTAACAAAAAAAAAAAAAGAAGAAGAATTGATCATAGAGGGCTTTTGGTTCCCTCTCAGGCTAGCCACCTACTCATTCCTCTTTCACCACTCAGGTCTTCTGGTCGCAGAGCCCCAGTGTGGAGTCCTGAGGAAGAGGCCCAGCTTCGGGAACTGTACCTGGCCCATAAGGACATGGAAGGTATGAGGCTGGAAGATCTGACAAGGTTCTGAGTTGGGCAGCCTGAGCTCCAGCTCTGTTCTTTACTTCTTCCCTCCCTTCCCACCCCAGGCCAAGATGTGGTGGAAATCATCTTGGCACACCTGAGAAGTACTCCTCGGACACGCAAGCAGGTCATCCACCATCTGGTACGCCTGGGGCTGGCTGACAGCGTGAAGGACTTCCAAAGGTAGAGGAGCAGGTTCTGGAAGTCATCGGGAGGGGAAATCCTCAGTTCCTTTCCTGGGCCTCCTTTTCCACTGATACCTCCCTAAATAGGAAAGGATCCCACATTGTACTATGGACAGAAGATCAGGAGCTGGAGCTGCAGCGGCTTTTTGAGGAGTTCCGGGACTCAGATGGTGAGTGAGAGGAAGCTCCAGGAACTTTTGAGAGTGAGAGCCAAGCTGTCCACGGTTCTTTCCTCTGCTGTTTATTCTTAATGAAACTTCTCCATCCCTTCTGCCACTTCTTATATTTGTAAGGTCATTTTGGGGGTGGATTGAGCTGTTTTTTCCTTTTGGCAGTACTAGAGTTTGAACATAGGGTCTTGTGCTTGCTAGGCAGACACTCTTATCTATCACTTGAGCCATGCCTCCAGGAGCTAGCCTCTTTTTTTTTTTTTTTTGGTGCTAATTCTGGGGCTTGAACTCAGAGCCTGGGTGTACTGTCCCTTAGCTTTTTAAAAAATATGTTTTTAATTAAAAAAATTTTAATATATATTTTTCATTGTTAAGATACTGTTTAAAGGGGTTACAGTTACAGTTACCTGAGTAAGGTAATGAGTACACTTCCTATTGAGCTTTTTTTTTTGGTCATGGGACTTGGACTCGGGCCTGAGCATTATCCCTGATCTTTTTCACTCAAGGCTAGTGCTGTATCACTTTTTTTTTTTTTTTTTGGGTCCGGTCATGGGGCCTGAACTCTGGGCCTGGGCGCTGTCCCTCAACTCTTCAGCTCAAGGCTAGCGCTCTACCACTTG